TTCTTCTTTATGGCTGCGTAGAACTCCATGTTTCCATATCATGATTTATTAATGGACTTTTAGGTGGTGCCCCACCTCTTACTAGTCAAATAATACTGTAAGTAATAACTTTGTACTAATTGTATTTTGCTCAAGTGGAAGTATAGCTTATGCTACAGCCCAGAAGTGGTGTTTGTGGGTCAAAGGGAATGTGTGCCTGTAATTTGGATAGATGTAGCCACATTAGCCTCTTTAGAGTTGTGACCATTTACCTTTCCACCAGGGGTGGGTGAGATTGTATTTCCCAAATGCTTAGCAACAACGTGTTAGATTTGTTTTAATCTGATTGTAAAAAGTGTATGTCAGTGTGTGTGTTTTTGTTTGTTTGATTTTTGTGTTTTTGTTGTTGTTGTTAATCCTCACCTGAGGATATTTTTCCATTGATTTAAAAAAAAATTTTTTTTAATTTTATTATTATTTTTAAAAAATTTTTTTATTAATTAATTTTGGTTACAGATGTTTCTCCTTTTCCCACTGATTCCCCCTCCCCCTCCCTCCCTGCCCTGTCTCCAGCTTTGTTGTCCATGTCCATTGTTCATGCATACATGCATGTAAGTTCTGTGGTTTATCTTTCCCTCACTACTCCCTCTTCTGGGGATTGTCAGTCTGTACCCCACTTCCACATCTCTGAGACTACCCCATTCCTCAGACTGTTATGTTCATTATATTCCACAAATAAGTGAGATCATATGATACTTGTCTTTCTCTGTTTGGCTTGTTTTACTTAGGATGATACTTTCCAGGTCCCTCCATGTCGTCTCAAAGGATAAGAGATCTTTCTTTCTTACAGCTGCGTGGTACTCCATTGTGTATATGTACCACAGTATCCATTCGTCTACTGATGGACACTTGGGCTGTTTCCAGATCTTAACTATTGTAAATAGTGCTGCTACAAACATGGGGGGTACATATATTCTTTCTGATTGGTGTTTCAGGCTTCTTAGGGTATATTCCTAGAAGTGGGATCACTGGGTCAAATGGCAGTTCAATTTTTAATTTTTTGAGTTAACACCATATTGTTTTCCATAGTGGCTGCACCAGTCTGCATTCCCACCAGCAGTGTACTAGAGTCCCCTTTTCTCCACACCCTCACCAGCACTTGTTGTTTGATGATTTGTTGATGGCAGCCATTCTGACAGGTGTGAGGTGATACCTCATTGTTAAAAATTTTTTTAGAGTGGAAAGGAGGGACAGAGAAAGAGAGAAACATTGATGTGAGAGAGACATATTCATTAGTTGCCTCCCCTACCACTCCGACCAGGGTTGGGGATTGAACCTGCAACCCAGGTATGTGCCCTTGACTAGGAATTGAACCCACAACCCTTTGGTCCATGGACCAATGCTTTAACCACTGAGCCAAACCGGCCAGGGCTCAGTGTTTTTTAATTTTCATTCTCTTGTTATGAATGATGTTGAGCATCTTTACATATGTTTAAGAGCCAAAGTATACATTTTTTATATCCTCAGCCCATTTTACTATTGGATTGCTGGGCTTTTACTTATTGATTTGTAGGAACTGTTTTAGGGAAATTAACCCTCTGTCTGACGAGAACTGCAAATCTTTTTCTGTTTATTAACTATTTTCTTTCTTCTCATGGTTTTTTACCATGAGTTTATATAATTTTGTAATCACATGTATTAATTTTTATCCATAATCTTTTAACCCATCAGTTTTATGGGTTCAGTGTCATTCTTAGCCTTTCCCCCATCTCAAGACTATTGGTGTAATTCACATATGTTTGTTTTAATATTTTTTTCTTTTGTTTTATTTCTCACCTAAGGATATTTTTCTACTTATCAGATAGAGTGGGAGTGAGAGAGAGAGAGAGAGAAACATGGACATGATAGAGCCACATTGACTGGTTGCTTCCCACACGACCCAACCAGGACCGGGGACAAATGCAACCGAGGTATAGGCCCTTGACCCAAATCGAACCCTTGACTCATTAGTCCAAGAGCTGATGCTGTAACAATTGAGCCAAACCAGCCAGGGCAATATTTTATTTTTCTTTATTGATTTTAGAGAGAGAGGAAGGGAAAGGGAGAGTAAGACACATTGATGAGAGAGAACATCGATTGGCTGCCTCCTGCATGCCCCCCACTGAGGATTGGGCCCACAACCTGGGCATGTGTCCTGACCAGGAATTATCCAGTGACCTCTTGGTGCATGGGTCGATGCTCAACTAGTAAGCCACACTGGCCGGGCTGGTTTTTTTAAACTTTAAAATCTTTTATTAGTTTGAGTCTTGTCTTGTTTTGGTATAACGTATAAGGTAGAGATCCAGCTTAATTTCTCCAGATGGCTACTTGTCTTAATACATACCATTTATTGAAGGGTTCACCTTTTTCCTTTGATTTAAAGTGCTGTCTTTATAACATTAAAGTTCCATGTGTGTTTGCATCTGTTTATGGACTTCTGCATTCTCTTTCATTGATTGTCTGTTCATGTGCCAGTACTGCACTGTTTCAATCATTGTAGCTTTCCTACAATTCTTTTTTTCCTTGTCAGCTCATTCTTATCATGTTTGCCAAAGTGGTGCCACCCAGCCCTTTGCTTTCTTCAAGTCCAATCTTCAACTCAGAGTGAGGCCATTCCATGTGAACTTTACCCTCCCCCGCCACACACACACACTGCTGTGATACTTCTTTGTATTTTCTTTATCCCGTGCCCTTGGATCTTTCCCCTCCCATCAATCATCCTGCCCTGGATACCCCCTTGAATCTTCTCAACTGTCTTTTCCCACAGACCTCTCCTCTGTCCACAGCTTATTTGAGTTTTCTCTATTCTGAAAAACCTCTTCCTGGCTTTGCTACTTTCTCAGTCTAGTGTGCTGTTACACACTTCTTTCCCTGACATAGTCACCAAGAATTAATCTCCATTCACTGTCCCAGCTTCCTCGCTGGCACTAATTCTTCAGAGCCTCAGTTTCCATCCCACCCACTTGGCTGAAATTTGTTTCACAAGGTCATTGATGACCTTACAGTCACTGAATCCAGTGGTATCAGTTTATCACCCTTAAAACTGCAGCAATGGAGCTCTGGCCAGTTTGGCTCAGCAGTTAGAGCCTCAGACCGAAGGGTCGTGAGTTCAATTCCCAGTCAAGGGCACAAACCTGCATTGCAGGTTCAATCCCTACCCCAGTTGGGGTCATGTAGGAGGCAGCCAATCAATAATGCCTCTCTCACATCGATGTTTCTCTCTCTCTCTCTCTCTCCCTCCCTCCTTTCCACTCTATCTGAAAATCAATGGAAAAATATCCTTGGGTGAGAATTAAAAAACAAAACCGAACTGCAGCATTGAAGCCGTTGACCCCTTCCCCTGGCTCTGAGATGCCAGGCCGTCCTGAGTCTCTCCTGCCCCGTTGTCTGTTCTGGTGCTTCTTCCTCTGTCCTTCCTTGATCGTCACTGTCTCCTTTGGTGAACTGAATCCCTCCCCGTGGCTGCCACATCAACAAGGATGCTCCTAAGCCTGTAGATAACCAACTCCAGCTCTTAGACTCTAGGGCTGAATTTCCAAACTGCTTTCAGGAGACCAACTAAGAGGTTCTTGTGTCAGTCCAAGCAGGGGAAGAGGAAGGCCTGATGGAGAGGGATGATGACAATCACCAGGGGAATTAAAAAAAAAAATACCAGTGTCCAAGCTGCTCCCCAAACCAATCAAATGAGGATCTCTGGGGTGGGCCCAGACACCCGTATGTATAACCCCCCCCCTCCCTCCGTGATTCCAGTATAGCTAAGTTTGCAAGCCTAGGGAGAGAGGGAGTCTCAGATGACTCCTGCCTTCTGACTGATAAGTGGTAGGTGGGCGTGTGGGTCACTAAAGTGGGGATTACAGAGGAAGGGTGAGTTTGGGGCTTCAAGGTGGGTTCTGTTGGGATAGGTTGAATTTGAGCTGCCATTGGGACACCAAGATAAGGGGTTCCGCAGATGCTTGAATCTCCTTAAAGTAGGTATTCTCTGCTCCTCCCCTTCCAGGCCTGCACTGACGTGGGGCAGAGTTCAGTCTCACCCCGGGGACAGGGCATTGAAGCACACATGCCTGGCGACAGCCCCTCCTGGCTACCCTCCAGATCCTCTCTCCCACAGCACCCCACTCCCAGCCAGTGGGCTCCTCGATAGTCCCCACTGTGCTGCCTCTGAGTCTTTTCTCAAGCTATATCCCCAAGAGGACTTCCATGTCACCTCCCTGGTCAAAGTCCACCCCACTCTCAGGACATCTTCCTCCTGTTCCCTGCTGGAAAGACTCTCCCACAGCACCGCAGGATCTTACCACCTCTAACTGTGGCATTTGTGGACAGCACCTTACTTGCTGAGGGTTCGAACCGTCTCCTCCTGGGTGGTGTAGACATAAGGATCGCCATCTGATAACCCTCCTTTTGGGAGCTTCCAGAGCAGAGTGCATCTCCCTGCCTGAGGGCTCTGCTGCTGAGGGTCTGGTTGCAGATCTGCTGTCAGCTGAGCGAGCCTGATGGGGCCCCCATCGCTCACCCAGACCCTAGCACTCCCTTTATGAAGGTGGCTGCAGAGAGCTGTGATTCTTGGGCCTGAGGACGAGTGGGGACAGGATGGGGCTGGGGTGCGATAGCAGGCTCTCCAGAGGGACTAGAGCACGTGAAAGCCCCTCCAGTCATGCTCACGTGTCTCCTGTAGACGTGGGCTCGAAGAACAGGATGCCAGAGGAGGCAAGGAAAGGTGACACGGGCACGTCACTCCGTCTGCTTGATGGAAACTGCTCTGAACTCCACAGACCTGTCACAAGAGCCAAGTGGGCAGAGGGCAGGACAGGAAGTGACTTTGATGCAAGGAGTGGAGACCATGGGATAGCACTGCAGGGTGAGGTGTCCCTGCTCTGAAGGAGCAGGACCGGGAACCCCGGTGCTGTCCCCCCAGATGGTAGCCCTCAGTCATGCTCCACTCCCATCACACTCTCATCCTCTTCACTGTCTTCCCCTTTGCCCAGGCTGACGGGAACTACCCTGTAGAGGTCCATCTGCATCCAGACCCAGATGATGCCAGAGCTATGACCGGGCCTGCAGGTGTGGCGCCGAGGGGAAATCAGCCATGGAGCAGCCACCGGAGGAAGCCCCTGAGGTCCGGGAAGAGGAGGAGAAAGAGGAAGTGGCAGAGACACAAGGAGCCCCAGAGCTCAATGGAGGACCAGAGCACTCGCTTCCTTCCAGCAGCTATACAGGTGAGGAGGAGGCAGGCAGGGGCACAGGCAGGGGAGTGTGGAACGCTGGCCTCTGCAGACAGCCTCGTGGGAGTGCAGAGTAGCAGCACGATGGGCTGGAGCCGATGGCCTAGTTCACACTCCTGCTGCGCTGCTCATCAGCTGCAGGGCCTGGGCAAGTCGCACCACTCTTTCTAAGTCAGGAATCGAGGGGACACAGACGTGGGCTTTTGTGAGAATTGCAGGAATTCAGGTGTGTCGTGCATGTTGTCATTATTCCACCACTGCTACCACAGGGGATCCGGGACCCATCTGCATGAACAATGCACTAGAAAGATCACTGTTCCTGTGATTGTGATGATCACTCGAAACACACAACTCAGTTGGTCTGGTGCTAATTATACACATCATCAAGCTGTACTGTAATTAGGCATAAATGCTAAGCAGTTGGTATGATTGACTATAATTAATATCACTTTTGTGCAGCCAGTTTTTAACTTCTCTTGCCTCACTTGTTGGTTCCCCTTTATTTATCCACTGTCAGCAGCCATGTAGACATTTTTCTCTGGTACCTTGTACTATCTGTCACTGTTTTCATCATCATCATCATCATCATGTGTCCACCTTCGAGGGCACCCAGATCCAATTCTCTCAGCCCCTGGCTTTCCCTGCTCCTGCCTCATCTTCCCAGCTTCTCCTTCTGCCTTTACCTGAGTGTCATCACACCCAGCTGGTCCTTGCTCCCTTGCCTCAGTGGGAACTCAGGGTCAGGATACACTGCCAAGAGGGGATACCTTGACCTTGCTGCTGGTTTCAGCCGACGGAGGTTCTGGCCCACAGGTGCTGGTTCAAGGCAGACGAGCAGGCCTGTCTCATAAGGATGGGCCCTGGGCTCTAGACTCTGGTGCCTGTGTGGGGAGAAGGAGGTGGATGGTGTCAGAATTAAGAGTTAAGGCGGGGGGCCCTGACCAGTGTGGCTTAGTTGTTTGGGCATCATCCTGTGCACTGAAAGGTTGCCAGTTCCATTCCCAGTCAGGGCACATGTTCGGGTTGCAGGCTCCATCTCCATTAGGGGGCGTGCAAGAGCAGCTAATGATGTTTCTCTCTCACATCGATGTTTCTCTCTCTCTCTCCCTCTCCCTCTCCCTCTAAAAATCAGTAAGAAAAAAAGAGTTAAGGCAGGGGGAGGTGCAGTTGAAGTAGGACAGGCTCCTGCCTGGGCCTGCACCTAAGAGAGCCCCGAATCCCTGAACCATGGCTGCTTTGAACCTGCAGAGTGAGTCCTGGGGTTTTTCAGAGCTTCTTCCTCTTTAGGGCACATGGTGGAGTAGGTGAGGGGAGCGCCATCACCCAAGCCCTCTGACAGGTGAGGAGGGGTAGGGCGCAGAGGGAAGACACTGGGGGCTAAGAATGAGCAAGTGATGTCACTGAGGACTTTAAGAGAGTGAAAGGAAAGAGAGGGCACAGGTTTGCGACCTCACTGCCTTTCCTGGCCCTACGTCTGGGTCCAGGCACATAGAAGTTGCCTGTAGATAATTTCCTGTCCTGGGGTTTCCTACATACCTTGTGGGGACCACCTCCCAAGTGACCCTGCTGTTCACACGCAGACCAGAGTGCTTGGGCGCACGGGGCAAAGGGGCTGCCGTGATGGCATCTTGAGGATTTAGGGCACATGGAGAGATGCTGGGAAAGAATTTGCCCAGCCAGCCCGTGTTTGATGGATTCCATATCAATAAATTAGTGAAGTGGAGGGAGAAAGACTTCCTTGTTCAGTCATTGAAACAGGAGACGAGTGTTTAACATAGTCTCCATACATTAGAACCATAGTATATAAAAACTTCCTACAAAGGATAAGACAAGCCACCTGACAGAAAAATAGAAACAGGCCATTCTCTGTCAGACAAATACAGGTGGCTGGAAAACAAACATTTTGCAGCCTCACTCATCAGAGAAGGTCTCTGCAGGTGAGATTGGCAGAGGATGCCGTCTGGAGCCCGAGGATGTGGCCCTGCAGCCGCTGAGGGTGGAGGGCAGCTTGGCACAGCCAGCACTGTGCATTCCTGTGGCCCTGAGTCCCCTCCTGGGAGTGTGTCCCTGTAAACACTCGCTCAGTGTGCGCAGAGATGTCCACACTTGTTTACTGCAGCACTGCTCATAAAAGCAAAAAAATGGAGAGCGCCCATCCGTGGGGAATGTAAACCGTGGCAGAGCCGTGCTGTGGAATGCTCCAGTCATTAAAGAGGATAAGATAGGCTGTATGTACTGACAGGGCAGTAAGTTCCTGACAAGTTGGGGATCCCATTGTTTAAAAATCCTTATATATGCCCTGGCTGGTGTGGCCTAGTTGGTTGGATGTCCTCCTAAGCACTGAAAGGCCGTGGGTTCGATTCCCAGTCAGGGTACGTGCCCAGGCTGCAGGCTCGATCCCCAGTAGGAGGTGTGCAGGAGGCGGCTGATGATGTTTTGCTTTCACATTCATATTTCTCTCTCTCCTTCCCACTCCATTCCTCTCTCTCTTAAAAAAAAATTTAAAAAAAGAATCTTCACTCCATCAGCTAAAAGCTTTTTAAGCCCTGGCCGGTTTTGCTCAATGGTTAGAGCATTGGCCTGCGGTCCGGAGAGACCCGGGTTCGGTTCCCGCTAAGGGCACGTACCTCGGTTGCAGTTTGTCCCCGGCCCTGGTTGGGTCGTGCGGGTGGCAGCCACTCAATGTGTCCCTTTCACGTAGATGTTTCTCTCTCTCTCTGTCTCTTCCTCTCTCTCCTTCCCACTCTATCTGAACAAAAAATGGAAAAATGTCCTCGGGTGAGGATTAAAAAAAAAAAAAAAGAAGTCTTACGCATCATAGGAGGTACTAGAGGAGTAGACAAAAACGCTGAGCGGGCCTGACTTAAAAGTGGGATCACGGGTGGAGGGGATCTGCCATAGATGCTGCACACCCTTAGGACTTTCCCCAGCAAACCTGGAATATTCTCATATTTTAACAAGGAATTACATTTTTTTTCTTTAAAGGGTTAAAAAAAAATACACCTGGCCGGTGTGGCCCAGTGGATTGAGCATCGTCCCACGGACTGAGAGGTCCCAGTTCGATTCCTGGTCAGGGCACATGCCTGGGTTGCAGGCTTTATTCCCCAGTAGGGGGCGTGCAGCAGGCAGCCGGTTGATGTTGCTCACATAGATGTTTCTGTCTCTCTCCCCTTTCCTTTCTCTCTAAAAAAATCAATAAAAAGATATTTTAACAAAAAATGCCATGGGTGAGGGCACTGGAGACAGAGCCCCACCCGGTCTGTGTTGGGGAATCACACACACCAGGGCAGGAGTCCCAGGTCGGCCACCAGGAGCTGTGGCCCTCACTGTGCTACAGCCTCTTCACCTTTAAGGGTTTCATCCTGCCCACCTCAGACCAGCCAGGTGAGGAGTAAATGCTACTCTCAGACACACCACTCTCAGATCTCAGCTCCTACCGGTTCCCTGCCCCACCCCATGAGACTATGACTTTACACTCTGGAGTCCCCTGGGGGACCCATTGAGTCGAGCCTGAAACCACAGGAAAGCTGCACAGTTGGCTTCCCTTCTGACCCTCCAGATGTTCTGCACTGACCTGCATCTCTGTACCCAGCCCAACACCTGCCAGCACCTCCCCTCACCTGCAGGGAGGCAGGCAGGACCAGCCTGGTCATTAGCACTCAGCGACAAGGACACTCACATCCCCAGGGTCCCCCAACTGGGTAGGGGCAGGGGCAATGGGCTGGTGCTCACACCCTACTTTTGTCTTCGTCCCCCCGCCCCCAGCTTCAGTGATGAACATTCCAGTCACACTGAGAAAAAGGTCAGGGGTCTTAGTGTGGGGCTGAGGAAGATAAAATGTCCTTCCTCTTGGCCTTGGCATCTCCTCTCACTCAGCAAACGCTTGGTGGGTATCCAGGAAGCCATTCAATGGAGGACAGTCTGTGTGGCTGGCCTGAGGAGCCCACAGTCCAGGCAGACAGGACAACAGAAGTAAGGAGGCTGCTGGGTAACCCAGCCCCAGAGTCCTACAGAATTGACCCTGATTTCAGAAGCTGTTTGCCTGAGGGGTTCTGCCAACAAAGTAAATAGACAGGGCTACCCCTCCTGGACCCCCACAGCCATGACAGCAGCATACCTCCAGCGATGGAGACTAGATACGCAGGAGTACTTCCCGCCATACTTGATGACGGGAATACGGTCAGCAGTGTCTGTTTGTGGAACTTGTAATCAAAGGTGGTGCAACCGGAACTCCACACTCTGGGTGAGGGGGCTAGTGTTTGTGCTGCATCCAAACAGTGAGTGTGGCAGTGTCATCCTCAGCATGGGCATGTCTCGCTGTTTATCATGCTCACAAATTAATGATCGGGTTTATACGTGGGAAGCTGTAAGTGTGGTGGGTGAGAGCTCAGGGTTGGATATAAATCTCTTAGGGTTCTCTAGAGAAACAGAACCAGTAGGATGTGTGTACGTGTATATACGGAGGGAGGTGGGAGGCTGGGAGATCTAAGGAATTGCCTCAGCAGCTGTGAGGGCTAGCACGTCGAAATTCTGTGGACAGGCCAGCAGGCTGGCATCCAGGGAAAATGATGTCCAAATGCAGTCTGGAGACAGAATTCCTTCTTCCTTCAAGAGGCCTACTTGCATTATTGAGAGTACGATTTAAATGTTAATCACATCTAAAAACTACCTTCACAGCAACATCTGGACCGATGTTTGACCAAAAACTTGGTTCCGTGGCCTGGCCAAGTTGACATAAAATTAACCATCAGAGCCAACGTCAGCATGTTACTTAACCTTCTGAGTCTCTGTTGTCTCGCCTGTAAAACGGGGATAAGAAGACCTGCTGGCGGGGTTGTTACGAGGTCAGGAGATTGCCGATGGCAAGTGTCCCGTGGAGTGCCTAGCGCACAGCAGGCACGTGCTGACAGAGCGGGTGATTGGTGCAGACACACAGCCTTCGCAGGGAAGTCAGGTTTAGGTTCCAGTTTCAGACCCACCATGTACTCAGGTGACGTTGGGCAGATCCCTTAACCTCACTGAGCTTCAGCTTCTTCATGTTTCAATGGTGGCAGCTACTGTCTTTCAAAGTGATATGAAATGATACATTTAATGGGGGCCTGATAAATGCTGGTTCTTTCCCCTCCCCCTCCTGGGGGTAGTAAAAGTAGGAGATATTTGGGGCTGGTCAGGCAGGGTGTGGCTAGAGCGGAAGTTCACAGGTAGGGCTTAGGGCCCCTGTGATGGCCCTCGGGTGAGCAAGTGCATTTCCTAGAGCAGAGGATGTGCTGGGCTGGCTGGAGAGATCACCCGAGGCAGACGGCCCTCAAACAGCAAGCCTGGGGCCTCTTCCACCAGGCATGCCTGGGGGGCACCAGGGCAAGGTCTCCCGGTGTGGGGGAGGGCCTCTCGGAACCCCTGTCCCCACCAGAAGATCATGGGAGGTGGTGTAACCTTCAGAAGCTGGTCCCTAGAATGGGGGGCATGCTACCATCATTACTTTTAGGTAGGACATGATGGTGATTTGAGGATAAACCCTTGAGCCAAGTGGTCAACTAGGAAGAAACAGAATCTTTATCTTTGGAAAACCTACCCCAAAGCTACCACCACTTTGGTGTCCCCCATACACCCCACAACAAAAGCCATCCCTGTGGGATGAGTACACTGCCCCCCCCCCCCCCGCACCTCATCCCCCTGCATATCTGTGCCTTGTGTATCAGTCATTGTGTCTTCTATTCCCTCGGGTAGGCAGGGCTGCCCTGGTCCTATCACCGCAAGACCACCAGGCCTCCCTGACTGCTGTTTGGCAGCCTGTGCCTATTCACCACCTGGATCTCTCCCAGGGTCCCCATTGCCCTGGGCCCGTGTCTGCCCAGTCCAGTTTGCAGCTCTTCCTGCCCTGGTCTCCCCTCACAGTCCAGAGCTCTCAGTGGCCAGTAGGGCTTGGGCATCTTGGCTTCTTCCAGGGTTTGGGGTAGTCCTGACACCCTGAGCCAGGAGCCAGCAGCAGGCCAGGTAATGCAAGAGGAGGCTAGGTCTTGTTCCGGGGGCTCTCCGGGCCTAATAAGCAGAGAGACGTCCCCCACATACACACACACATGTACCTTAGGTTCCTGTGAAGCTGGGGGGTGGGGGGGACGACCAGAAGAAGGAAGAGAGGCATGGCCCCTGTGGGCACACCACTCGGAAACTGCAGGATCGCGGCTTTCCTGTAAGCATCCCCAAACTTAAGCTGATATTTACACGGCACTTCCAAGTTCCAAGAGCTTTCTCTGTATTAACTCCTGTATGCCTCACGGTGACTCTCTGAGACAACAGAGACAATCTGTGGTCATCTCCCTTTTACAGAGGAGGAAACTGAGGCCCAGAGGGCAGAGTGGGGTTTTAGGTGCAGGCCACTGATATGGAGTTGGACTGCGTGGCTCCAGAGCCACATTCTGAGCACCTGGAAGCTGACTTGGAGGCCCTGCAAAGCACTTGCCTTTTCTTCAAATCCTCACTGAAGATGCTGATTCTTAGAGGAAGGGAGTGGGAGAGACAGAGAAGCATCGATGTGAGAGAGAAACATCTATTGGTTGCCTTCCACACGCACCCTGACTGGGGATCAAACTCACAACCGAGGTATGTGCCCTGACCGGGAATCGAACCTGCATCCCCTCAGTGTACAGGACAATGCTCCAACCAACTGAGCCACGCCGGCAAAGCACTCACCTTCCCTGACCACCTCATGCCCAAGTGACGGCTCCTTCGCAGTCCTGCGCCACCTGCCTGCCCCTCGGCCAGCGAGGCCTCACTGCAGTGTGCTCTAGTTTCTTACCTCAGCTGGTTGAGGGCAAGGTCTGAGTCCTGCCCTGCACACAGCAGGTGCCCATCAAATGTCCTGAGTGAAGGGAGGGTGGCATTGCCAAATGTCCAGACAGCTGCCAAGCCCCCAGGGCCACGAGGGAGAGCGAGGAAGCACCAAGAGCTGCGAATGCTCTGAGGTGGCTGGTCCCTGAGGCTGGGGCTCGGAGCCAAAGGGAACGTGACTCGAGGCACTCTGTCTGAGTAGCGGAGAGGCGGACGTGCAAGCCACAGAACAACACGCTTACAAGAAGTGCCGGAGCACTCCTGGCCAGCATCCGTGCAGGCCTCTGCTGCACAGGGTTTCACACCGTACCCCATCTCCCCCAACAACTGGGCATGTGACTTCTGCCCCGTTAGAACGCCCCGGCAGTGGCGGTGCTCCCCTGCAGCCAGGTGGTGCAGAGGCCGGACTCCCCGGCAGCTTCAGGACCGCTTATTCCACAGCCACCGAGTGCCTGCCCTGTGGCCCTGGCGGAGCAGTAGCGGAGCCCCAGCACTGAGTAAACACAGGCTGTCAGGTGGTGACAAAGGCTGCTGAGCAGACCAAAGCTGCCTCGCCCTCCCAGGCCAAGTCTCCCCACAGCAGCTTGCCCAGGAGGTGGAGGGAGCCCACTCTCCCCGTCTGTGGGCTTGGGGAAGGCAGCAGGCTGCGGGTCCTCTGCTGTGGTTTGGTGCTTGTGCTCCCCTTCTGTGTTCAGGATGGGGGCCTGTCACCCCGAGACCAGGGGTGGGGAGAGGTGAGGGAGTGGGAGGTTACTCCATGATGGGGAAAATTTGATCTTTTGCAGAGTGCAAAATGCTAAGTCTGGGCTTATTGCCATGACTTGATCTCTTTTAGAGCTGACTGTTCTAAGCCCCTCGTTCTCTGGTTTGGGGTCTGGACCTGCCCCCAAGGCGGGTGATCAGTCATCGGGAGAGAGCAGAGAACAGAAGGTTGGCAGGACGAGGCACTGGGGCTGAGTGCAGGTCCCCTTTCCAAGGGGAGGGCTCACTTCTGAGTGTCTAAGGGAGAGATTCAGAAGAGACTCCCAGTGGTTCTTACTACGTCATCTGAAGGTGGATATGCCCTGAAGTCGTTGCCATGGCCAATTGCTTTCCTTGCTAACAGTCAGCACATGGCTCAACCATCTGTATGTTTAACAGAAAAACACTTGTGGAAATTCAGTGTGCTGCCCAGTCAATGTAGCTTTTTCTGTGTGAGCATATTTAGTGGGAGTGAATTTGAGTTTCTTGGGAGATCCTTCACAAGCATCAATGGAGTCCATGCAAGAACCCACCCCCCCAGGTGGAGGGGGCGCAGCACTGCAGGGGTCTCACTTCTGCCGTCTTCACAGAACACCTTCCACACACCCCTCGTGGGCCGCTTCCTAAGGACAAGCTAAAGAGATTCCTTCCCCTTGCTCCACAAAACACAACCATCCCTTCATACCCTCTCCTCCCCAAGGGTGAGTTCAGCCCAGGAAGGCTCTGCCTTATCCCAGATAGTAATAGCTGTCATTTCTGGAACACCTGCTGTATGTCAGGTCTGGGGAAATGCTTTGGAAACTTCATCCTCCCAGAGAAGCTATCATTAACCCATGTTCTGGATGAAGAAACTGATCCCCAGAAAGGCTGGCTTCTGTGGGCACACAGTTCTTAGATGGTGGAGCCGAGGGCTGTGTGAGTGGGAACATGGGTCAGCCAGCCGCCCCTGTGCATGTCTGCAGACCTCTCCCGGAGCTCCTCGCCACCCTCCCTGCTGGACCAGCTGCAGATGGGCTGTGACGGGGCCTCGAGTGGCAGCCTCAACATGGAGTGCCGTGTGTGCGGGGACAAGGCCTCGGGCTTCCACTACGGTGTCCATGCCTGCGAGGGCTGCAAGGTATGCGCGGTGGGGTGCTGGCTGGCAGGCTGCGGTCAGAGAGGCTTTCCCTGCCAATACCCGCGGCGAGTTCCTGCCTGGGCCGCAGCCTCGGCTCTGGGTCCTGCTCAGACAAGGCTTCGCTGTCAGGGTTGCCCTGCTGGGCACCTGCAGCACCAACCCGCCACTTACTGGGCCACTTGTGCCCCCTGGGAACCTGGCTGGAAAAGGCAGGTGAGACAGAAAGGTGGGGGCTTAGGTGGAGGCATCTTCCTGAGGTCGGGTTCCTGCACCTCAAAGCCTGAAGGGGCTCTTTGAGAAAAGAAAAGAAATGTTACATTTGTTTTTCCAGTGGTGCTTTTGGGTTCTTCCTTCTAACTGCACACCCATCAGGCGTTCACACACTAGTCCATTAAACCACTGCCAAGAAAACACGCAGGACCAGATACAGTTATGAGACAATCAAGTTGTCATGATACAGTTTTGTTACCAAATTAACAAAAAGACATTTAAAGTAAATATGGTTTATTTTAATTATTTCAAAAGTTTTAGAGTTGTTTACCTTCCTTCTCCCACTCCATTCCGACAAAATTCTCCCACTACTTCCAGATGTCAGAAGTTTTTACCTCTTCATGCGTGACTGGGCCCCAGTACCACCGGCGGGCAGCGGGGTTCTCCAGCCCTCTCCCTCCCCTGTGGCTTTTCCTCCCTGTGCGTCCCTCAGGGCTTCTTCCGCCGGACGATGCGCATGAAGCTGGAGTACGAGAAGTGTGAGCGGAGCTGCAAGATCCAGAAGAAGAACCGCAACAAGTGCCAGTACTGCCGCTTCCAGAAGTGCCTGGCACTGGGCATGTCGCACAACGGTGAGAGCCGACCGGGGCAGGTGGGCTGCTGCTCCACGCAGCTCGAAACCCGTGTTAGGGAGCCCAGAAAGGGGTGCCCTCTGCTGTGCCAGGCACGCTGTAGGCACTGCCAAGTGTCAGCTGCTGACCTTGCTGACCTGGACCCGGAGCCTTGGAGCCAGTGTAAACCTAGCCCCAGATCTGCCTTCCCCAGACTGCCCAGCATCCCCCGTGGGTCTCAGGCTGGGGCAGTCGCCACCCTACCCGAGGCTCACCCTGCCTAGCCCAGGAGGGAAGTGGGATTGGCCCCAGCTCCAGTGCTGGTGGAAACACCACTCCCGGAACCTCAGGCCTGGCTCAGGTGGCCTGGCGCAGCGTGAAAAGCCACTGTGAAGGCCTTGGACCCCTCAGCCCTTCTTGGTTATTGAGGGCAGGCAGGAGCCAGGCAGGAGTTTCCTGGAGGCCAGCCACTCACGAGACAGAGCCTGCCCTGCCCCATGCTCTGGGCCTCCTGCAGTCTCGTCTTCAGATCCCAGAGTAGGATTTTGCAAAGCCCAACCTGCCCCCTCTTTACTCCTCTGGGTCACACCCCCGAGGACAGGGAGAGCCTCTTGTTTCAATGTCTTCACCCATGGGGGCCCCGACTGCCTTGCACCTCTGAGGGTGGCAGGACCTGAGGCGCTGTCTGCAGCCTTTTTAGGTGATGGGGTCTGGCAGCTCTGGGTTCGATCCTTCCCCTCCATCTGTATCTGCCTGGCCCCATTACTTGGCTGAAGTGAGGGGATTCCCAGGAGGTCTCAGGGCTGACTGAACTCTCACTTTTTCTCTGAGAGAAGCCAGATTTGCTTCCATTGCGACTCATTTAATTATTCTGAGAATCCAGTGAGATTTTAGTGTGAGCCCCACTTTCCTGGTGAGAAAAGAAGACCAGGGGCCTGAAGCTGCAGGGCAGCAAGCTGCCGAGCTGGCGCTCAGGCACAGGCCTCCGACACCACGGGCGCTCCTGCCCGCCGCTCACCTCGGCCAGCGCCGCGCCGCCACTCCTTGGGCTGGGCCCTGTGAGCCGGGCACTGTGGACAAGCAGACAGGACCCTTGCACCCTGGAGCGTATGTTCTGGAGGGTTCCCCAACCTTCCAGCTTGCTATCTCTAGAGCTTCTGAGAGCCCTGGGCTCAAAGTGCGTCTCCATCTGTGGCCCGTGCACCTTAGAGGGATGAGGAAGTGCTGGCCCCTGCAGGACGCCTTGCTGACTAAGCTCCTGCTCCCCTGCAGCCATCCGCTTTGGCCGGATGCCGGAGGCCGAGAAGAGGAAGCTGGTGGCAGGGCTGACGGCAGGCGAGGGGAGTCAGCACAACCCTCAGGTGGCTGACCTGAGGGCCTTCTCCAAGCACATCTACAGCGCCTACCTGAAAAACTTCAGCATGACCAAAAAGAAGGCCCGAGGCATCCTCACTGGCAAGGCCAGCCACACGGCGGTGAGTGTCACTGCGCAGCCCAGCGGCATCCCTGCTCTGGGCCCCTGCCGCCTTCCTGACTCCTGGGAGACCAGACCTTCCTCCTCACGTCATGGTGCAGGCAGGGGGTATGGGGAGCACACGGGCGGGAGGCTCCGAGGCCCGGCCTCTAACGGGGCCTGGTTTTCAGCCCTTTGTGATCCACGACATCGAGACATTCTGGCAGGCAGAGAAGGGCCTCGTGTGGAAGCAGCTGGTGAACGGCCTGCTGCCCTACAAGGAGATCAGCGTGCACGTCTTCTACCGCTGCCAGTACACCACGGTGGAGACCGTGCGTGAGCTCACCGAGTTCGCCAAGAGCATCCCCAGCTTCGGCAGCCTCTTCCTCAACGACCAGGTGACCCTCCTCAAGTACGGAGTGCACGAGGCCATCTTCGCCATGCTGGCCTCCATCGTCAACAAGGACGGGCTGCTGGTGGCCAACGGCACTGGTTTTGTCACCCGTGAGTTCCTGCGCAGCCTCCGCAAGCCCTTCAGTGATATCATCGAGCCCAAATTCGAGTTTGCTGTCAAGTTCAATGCCCTGGAACTTGACGACAGTGACCTGGCTCTGTTCATCGCCGCCATCATTCTGTGCGGAGGTGAGTGAGGTGGGGCAGGGGGCTGGCCCAGCACAACCAGGCCTCCTGAGGGCTGGACCTCCCTGCAGGGCACCACGCCTGTGCTCAGGCAGCGTGGGCAAGCGTGCGTGAGAGGGACCAGCTGGACATGCAGGACCAGCTCCGTCTCGTATGGGTGGAAATGAAACAAAAAGACCGAAAGGACGCATGCCAACGTGCCAACAGGGCTGTTGCTGGGGTGGAGAAGCTGTATTTTACCAACATTTTTCAGTTGCAACAGTCGTAATAATAGTCATGCTGTCCGTGGATGGCACGGTGCTCCCTTCACGGCGGCGCTGTTCTGGTCCCTTTGCCTGGGTTATGACCATTTGGTCCTCACAACCGCCCGCGCTTAGCTACTTCCGGCATCCGCAGTGCGCGGTGCGGAAACGAGCCCAGGGCGGCTGAGCGGCCTGCCAGAGCCTCCACTGGTCCGGGAGAGCTGGGGTGTGAATCCAGGCAGTCTCGTAGCCACGATACTGTACTGCCCAGTCAGGAGAACAAAGGAGGGGGCTGGAACTCAGCGGGGCATCCCTGAGGGCTTGGGTCTGTCGCAGCAAGGAGGCCTGCTGTCCCCTGGGCCAGGTCCCCCACACAGGGGAGGGGTAGCAGAGCTCGTGCCTGCCTGCTCCCTTCCACACCTCTGCCCTGTGTCCCCACAGACCGGCCAGGCCTCATGAACGTGTCACAGGTGGAGGCCATCCAGGACACCATCCTGCGTGCCCTCGAGTTCCACCTGCACGCCAACCACCCGGACGCCCAGTACCTCTTCCCCAAGCTGCTGCAGAAGATGGCTGACCTGCGGCAGCTGGTCACCGAGCACGCCCAGATGATGCAGCGGATCAAGAAGACTGAGACGGAGACCTCGCTGCACCCCCTGCTCCAGGAAATCTACAAGGACATGTACTGAAGTGCACGCCCAGGGCCTCCCAGCAGGCCTCTGGGGGCCAAGAGCCAGGGGCAGATGGACAGCGCGGGGACAGGGCTACCATGGGACTTCCCCGTTGGCTGGCCAGCACTCCACATGCCCGGAGCAGCCGGAGCAGCCCAGCCTCACCCCCCATACTCCCTCCCTCTCCCTCTCCCTCCGTTCCTCTTTCTCCTCTAATGTCTTTGCTCTTCTCTTCCTTTCTGTACGATTCCCTCTTCTGTCCTCCCTCCCTCCCCATCCCCTTGTCTGTTCCTCTTTCTCTTTCCGTGGACAGTTTGTATTATCTCACCAGCAGCATAGAACAGGACTTCTGCTTTTGCCCCCTGCCCCGGTGCAGAAGGGAGTGGGGCCAGCCGTCACTGCAGGGGTGGACTTCACCTGCTCCCGTCCTCGCCGCAGGGACTGGAACCGTCCAAAGAAACACTAAGCTCTGGGCCCAGCCTCCTGGGGAAGCCGAGCAGGACCTGTGCTGACTGTGCAGTGGCCCCCAGTTGCTGGGTCCCTGCCCTGAAGGCCAGGGTGCCTCCCTGAGACTGTCACCACCCTCCCAAGGCTGAGGCTGGTGCCCCCTGACCCAGCCGACCCCAACCCAGACCCACGCCCCAGCCCACTCACACCAACACCTTGTTCTTTCCACTGGTCTTCCGGGCCAGTGCTGCTGATGGCCCCCTGTGCTGGCCGCTGGGGGACCTCCCCCAGCCTAGAACAAGGTGGGTTCCCTGCAGGTGGGGGCCCCACACCCCCCTGAAGAGGAGCAAGCCTCAGGGAGGTGGAAGTTGGCAGGGAAGCAGGGAGCAGGCCTTGGGTCGGCCCTCCAACAGCACCCACTCTCACCCTCCCACCCGCGTGCAGCAGCCTCCTCCGCCTGTGTTCTGTCAGGTCATGGCTCCGCCTCCCCCAGGGCCAGGGCTGAACTCGGGAGACAACATCCTGTCTCCTGCCCAGACACTGCCGGCTCCAGCCCAGCGGCAGCATGTGCCCCACACACTCCTGGAGCTGCCGCTCCAGCACACACCACAAGCACTGAATTCACTTTATCTGCAGGTTCCACACCCCTTCCCAGAGGTGGATGCATGCCCAGGGGGCCTGCAGTTGGCCAGGGCTGGGCCAGACCCTGGCCGGCAGGGCGTCCTGCTGAGTCAGCCCAGCACCTGCTGGCAGGCAAAGGCGCCAGGGGTAAGCTGCCCTGCTTCGTCCCAGCAGCTCTGCCACCCTCCTCCCCTGTTCAGCCCAGCTGGAACGCTCCCTGCAGTCCCTGGGGACGTGGACCTTGCCAGGCCAGTCCCCTCCTCAGGCCCTGCCCCTCCTTCCCCTCCACAGGTGCACTCTGCCGCTTTTCCAGGGAGGAAGCTGGCTGGCGCGGCGAGAGCTGGCTGGGGTCTCTGAGAACCTGGGCTCACAACCTAGCCTCCTGGGGCTGCTTGTCTTTCTCCTTCGAAAGAGGCCTTTCTCTCTGACTGCAGCCCTGGAAGGAAATGCCTAGAGAGGACAGGCCAGCGTCTGCCCTGCCGGCGCGGCAGCCTTCCAGGTCCCGAGCTCACCCCCTGCCGGCTGCTTCCCTCCCATCCTACTCGCCTGACCAGGCTTTGGGCCGGGTGCTCCCTTGGGGCCAGCACTGTGAGGGAGAGACTGTGCCTGACCTCCGCCTCCGCCCCCCCCCTTCGCACCCCACCCAGCTCTCGTGCTGAGAATACAGCTCTTCTCAGTGTCTGAACAGTCTCCAAAATTGAAATGTATATTTTTGCTAGGAGCCCATTTCCTGTGTTTTTAATATAAATAGTGTACACAGACTGATGGAACTTTAAATAAATGGGAATTAAATATTTAAGAGTTGACTTAGGCTGACTCAGTTCTCTGCGTGTTGTTCCTGGGGGCTGATCTGCCCCCCCACACACACGTATCTGGTGCGCACAGGAGGAAGCAGTCGGGCACATGCTGGTAGATCCTGGCTTGTGGGAGCTCCCATCTTGCCTCACCCACGCCGTTCCCTCAGTCACAGGGGTCGTGGAGGACTGAGAAGACGCCATCTCTACCCTGCAGAGACTTTGGGGTGTGTGGGGGAGAAAGACACCTGACAGGTGTGTGGGGCCTGGGCACGCAGCAGGGTTGGCTGGAGGGTCTCCGAAGGCCCTGGAAAGGCAGCTCAAGTGGGATGTGGGCCTTGCAAACCCAAAGCCTGTCATTCACGGTCAGTTTGTACCCCCACAAGCAACCATGGTTTTCCTCTCCTTAGCCAGCACCCCAGTTTTCTCCCTTACTCCCAGGGTGCCATCTTCACAGAGGCTCCAGGGAGCCCATCCCTTAGCAGTCAAGCAGCATGAGGCAAGTCTGACTGTTTTGGTTCTTGTCTAGTCAGAAACAGCCACTGCTAAATATTTCAAAATGGAGAGCTCGCTCCAAGGAATTGCTGCAAAAGCACCGAAAGGATGGACCGATCCAGGCGTCGGTCACTGCGGGAGGCACTGTCACCCCAGGGCTGGATGGGACGCGCTACCAACGGCCACTAAGGCTGAAATACCCAACACTGCAGACACCCAGGAACCCCAAGCCACCTGCCGCTTTGGTGAAGCCGAGTCTGGGGCTGCCAGGTGCCTGTGGCCACCACCGCCGTGGCCGCCCCTGGGACCCTGCCACCTGAGCAAGAAGCCTGGCGCTGAAACTCCCGCTCCGGCGGGCAGAAGTGCCTTTCATCTGGGGGGAGGGACACTGTCTCCCTCCTCTGGTTGTCCAGTCTGTTGCTGTACCTCCCATGGGAAAAACAGCCAGAAAGGGGTTTAGGGAATGTGGTCTGCAGACCCCAGCCCCTGCAGTACGGAAGGGCATGGGCGAGCCCGAGCCAGCGAACAGTGAGCAGAGCACAGAGCCAGGGCCGTTCCCCAAGGCTCGCGGGGTAAGGTGGTGGTCACCGCCCACACTTGCCTCCCTATTTTCCCTTTGCCTGGCCAGCGTCCAGAGCCACCTGAACCCTGCCAAGTCCATGTGGCTCATGTCAGCCAGGAGAGTGACCGGAGAATGGGAGGGAAAAAGAGCAATGCTTGGAAAGAGGCATCTCTGAAATGGATGGCCTTGCTCGCGGTGGGACCCTCGTTTGCTTGATTTAGTTTCCTCACCTCCCTGTCCTTTCCCACACCCTCAGGTGGGGGAGAAATAGTTGAGGACTGTGGCTCAGTTGTGAAAGGCCAGTCCTCTTCCCACTGCTGCAGGGGGAAGAATACAGGACACCAGTCAACGAGAAAACTCAGTTCATAGAGGTGAAGCCAGGTCTCAGTACCAGCTTCTGCTGTTCCTGGCGTCTGGCGCTGCAAAGGGAGAGCATCAAGTCAGTCTGCACCCTGTCACTACTGGCACGAAGGAATGTTCTTTATTAAGCATCTATTCTGTGCCAGGCACTGTGCACGTCGCCTGTGATGCTCACCTCAACCCTACGAGGCAGACACGAGGGCCTGCATTCTACAGGTGAGCACAGGGACAGCAGGGCGGGTGCCGGCTCCCTCAGCGGCACGCCGCATCGCCAGCACTGCACTGATCAGGGCCTCAGGCTCCCAGCTTTCTACCATGAGCAAAACCTTGGGGATGATAGTTGGTCACCTGGTCTCTTTTTAATGATGCTCAGGACAAATGAATCAAATATTTAGACTTAAAAAAAACCTTAAGACAATGACAAGATACTATCATTGCAATGGTTTTATAAAATTCTTCTGAAATAAAAAATTGAGGGAGGGAGGGAGGGAGGGAGGGAGGGAGGAAGGAAGGAAGGAAGGGAGGGAGGGAGGGAGGGAGGGAGGGAGGGAGGGAGGGAGGGAGGGAGGAAAGAAGGGAGGGAGGGAGGAAGGGAGGAAGGATGGAAGGGAGGGAGGGAGGAAAGAAGGGAGGAAGGGAGGGAGGGAGGAAGGAAGGAAGGGAGGGAGGAAGGAAGGGAGGGAGGGAGGGAGGAAGGGAAGAAGGAAGGGAGGGAGGAAGGAAGGAAGGGAGGAAGGGATGGAGGGAGGGAGGGAGGAAAGAAGGGAGGAAGGGAGGGAGGGAGGGAGGAAGGAAGGAAGGGAGGAAGGGAGGGAGGGAGGGAGGGAGGGAGGGAAGGAAGGGAGGAAGGGAGGGAGGGGAGGGAGGGAGGAGGGAGGGAGGGAGGGAGGAAGGAAGGGAGGAAGGAAGGAAGGGAGGGAGGAAGGGAAGAAGGAAGGGAGGGAGGAAGGAAGGAAGGGAGGAAGGGAGGGAGGGAGGGAGGGAGGGAGGAAAGAAGGGAGGAAAGAAGGGAGGAAGGGAGGGAGGGAGGGAGGAAGGAAGGAAGGGAGGAAGGGAGGGAGGGAGGGAGGGAGGGAGGAAAGAAGGGAGGAAGGGAGGGAGGGAGGGAGGGAGGAAGGGAGGGAGGGAGGGAGGAAGGGAGGAAGGAAGGGAGGAGGAAGGAAGGGAGGGAGGGAGGGAGGGAAGGGGAGGAAGGAGGGAGGAAGGAAGGAAGGAGGAGGAGGGAAGGGGAGGGAGGAAGAGGGAGGGAGGGAAGGAGGGAGGGAAGAGGGAGGGAGGGAGGGAGGGAGGAAGGGAGGGAAGAGGGAGGAAGGGAGGAGGAGGGAGGGAGGGAGGGAGGAGGGAGGGAGGAGGGAGGGAGGAGGGAGGGAGGAGGAGGAGGAAGGAAGGAAGGAAGGAAGGAAGGAAGGAAGGGCTCCAGACTGGTAATATCCCTGGAACAACCCACCCAAGACAATACCCTGGAGTGAAACCCACCAAATTATGTTCATCGTAGCAACAGGAAAAACTTGGAAACCTCCAAAATGTTCAACAGGAAAGTGGATAAACTTGATATATGTATACAATATATATTAAAAAAAAAAAAAAAAGCTAGAAACACATGGGGAAAATTTTCATATAATCTTGAAGTGGATAGACTTTTCAAAAGTGTATTGTATACTCAAAGGTTTCTAAATTTTGTGCAGTATCCATGAAACTTGGAGTCTATACAATTTTTAAAATGAAAATTTTACCATATACACATTTAAAAATGTTCTTCCTGGGGGAAAATCTTTTAAATCAACCATGTTAAAAAAAAATTATCACATAATCAAACAAAGGGTTAATTTCCTTAATATATAAATCAATGAGCCCAGCCGGTGTGACTCAGTGGTTGAGCATTGACCCGTGCACCAAGAGGTCGCCGGTTCGATTC